TGAGTTAGTGTGTCTGATTTATAATTGTTCTAGAGCAAGAAAAACATTTTAAAGGTGTATGAAGTAAGAAGGACATCCTATGGCCCCATTGGGGTACTGCAGTTCAGGTATGACTATGCTCTCAGCCACTGCCCCTCCCCTTCGTGATTTCATACTGGTTGCCGGTTACGGATCAGCGCTAGAAGATTCTAGATGACAAGCAAAGACGAGTCTCACACAGTAAGTTGATAATTAGCTTCTCTGCAATATGGAGTTGTTGGTAATTGATTAAATTCCGCAATTATTTGTTTAGTGAAGCGGTGCATTGCTTCCCATGTGCAAGGAAAGAGTGCGTTGATTGGTCAAATACATTATGCAAAGCTGGTCTTGGCTCCTCCTCTGCCATGTTTCATTTCCTTAACTCAGGATTTTCCTCAGCAGAAAAAAATTCAGAGTAAGGGATAAAATATTGCAGAATGTCTTGGACAAGATGTCACGATCATGCCCTGACCTCTGTGTTTTCCTGTCTCCCTGCAGCAGCAGTCATCTAGCTGATTAATTCCACCTGTGCTGCTCCCTATTTAAGCACCTGGCTCCTGCTGCTCAGTGCGAGATCATCTGCTGCCCTGTCACAGCCCTTCGAGCATCTTAACCTGTCTGCCTGCCTGCCTGTTTATCATGGACCCCTGCCTGCCTGACCACGGATCCTGCCTGCCAGCCTGCCTGTTCGTTACTGACCTCTGCCTGTCTTACCACGGAGCCCGTCTATTGCCTCAGCTTCAGCCTGAATCTGAGCCCTCACCTTCATCAGCATTCGTCACCGCTGAGCACCGCTGCTGTTTTCAGAAGGTCAGTCACTCCTCAGATTAAGACTTTACTTTGAATACTAGTATGGAAATAGTAACGCGTTAGATTAGTCGTCACCCCAAGAAAAGAAATTATGTTGTTTTCGAGTAGCATCGCGTTACTGGCATCACTGTCACAGAGCCATGTGTCCATGATAAGTGTTGCATAGGAAAGGCATAGGAAAGGCCTTAATGTCAGAGGTCACCAGACATGCTTTCCAATCCAAAACACGTCATTTCTGACCTCGCCTGGATCTGGGGAATCCATCATAATCTTATTAGGTCTCATACAATTAATTGCTCACTTTACAGGGTAATTACAATCATTATGTTTTATACAGTGAATGCTTTTATTTAAAGTCATTTAATAATGATTTGACTTCTTTACAGTAAAGATTAATCAATAATTAACTGTTTATTCTTGAAATGCCTTATTTCAGACCACCAAATAAGTCTACTTGATGGATTTAATTTAAAAAATTTAAAAACTTAAAATCTCTAGTTGGAAGGAACATGAAGGAAGAACTGTTTAGTAATTTGATTAAGACTTAATCTGGAAAAATGTTACACTGTATAGTTGTTAGTCTATCCATTGAAAGGACGGAAGTTTAAGGGGGTTTTAAGTCACGTGCTCGCAGGTGAGGTGAGCGGAGGTGAGGATCCACTCGCAGGGGAAAGCAGGTGGGCAGGCACACAGAAACGATTAAAGGCTTTAATAAAGAGCACGCTGACATGGAAACAATGAACTGACAAGACAAACAGGAACGAGAGGGTTTAAATACATGAGGAGCTGAGACCTGGAATGATTGGAAGACGAGAGGCAGGTGGGAGCAATTAACATGGACACAGGACTGAACAGAATGAGGAGACAGAACAGGGTGTGACATTACCCCTCCCTCTAAAGGACCGCACCGGACGCCCAACGCAGGCCAAGAAGGAGTCTGGGGGGGCTAGCATCTGGGGCACAGGAGGCGGTGCCGACATCTAGGGGGCCGGCATCTGGAGCACAGGAGGCGACGCCAGAGTCTGGGGGCCTAGCGTCTGGGGCACAGGAGATGACAGGAGAGGGCAGGGCTGGCGGTGACTGGAGGCCCAGACTGGAGTGGAGGCGCAGACTTGAGGGGAGACGGAGCCTCTGACTTGGCTTGGGGAGGCGGCGACTTGAGAGGAGGTGAAGCCACTGCAGGAGGGGCTGCCGCTGACTGGAGGCGGAGCCGCTGCAAGAAGGGCCGCCGTCGATATGACGTGAGGCGCTGGACCTGGCGCCGACTTGACTTGAGGCACTGGACGTGGTGCTGATGACTTGACTGGAGGCGTCAGACTTGGCGCTGACTTGACTGGAGGCGCCGGACTCGGTGCTGACTTGATTGGAGGAAGAGCCGCTGAAGGCGGCACCTCTTGGACAGGCTGGGCCGGGGCAGAGACTCTTGGACAGGCTGGGCCGGGGCAGAGACTCTTGGACAGGCTGGGCCGGGGACGGAGCCTCTTGGACAGGCTGGGCCGGAGTCTCTTGGACAGGCTGGGCCGGGGGCGGAGCCTCTTGGACAGGCTGGGACGGTGGCGGTGCCGCTGACTGGAACGGTGGCGGTGCCGCTGACTGGACCGGCAACACCTCCTGGAGAACCAGGGAGGATAGAGTGTCCAGCTGGAACTCCTGGAGGCCGAGGATCTGACGGAGCCGGACCAGCTCAGCTTGGAGACCAGCGAGCTTTGTTCGATGGGCTACCGGCTCGGTCCCTTGGCCTGGAGATGAGGGAGGTGCTGACTGGACCAGAGGCGGGGCCGCTGGCTTGACTGGAGGTGGATCTGCTGCAGGCGGGGCTGCTGACTTGACTGGAACTGCCTCCTGGAGAACCAGGGAGGATAGATTGTCCAGCTGGAACTCCTGGAGGCTGATGAGTTGACGGAGCCGGACCAGCTCCGCTTGGAGGCTGGCGAGCTCCGTCCGGAGGGCTGCAGGCTTGGTCCCTCAGGGAGCAGGTACTCCCAGGGGAGAGTTTCCCCGCTGGGTCCTTCGTTTGGTCGGTTCATTCTGTCACGAGCTCGTAGGTGAGGTGAGCGGAGGTGAGGATCCACTCGCAGGGGAAAGCAGGTGGGCAGGCACACAGAAACGATTAAAGGCTTTAGTAAAGAGCACGCTGACATGGAAACAATGAACGGACAAGACAAACAGGAACGAGAGGGTTTAAATACATGAGGAGCTGGGACCTGGAGTGATTGGAAGACGAGAGGCAGGTGGGAGCAATTAACGTGGACACAGTACTGAACAGAATGAGGAGACAGGACAGGGTGTGACATTTTCTGGCAGACCTCTGTTCTCTCTACGAGCCATCGGCCCCTTTGTTTACTAGGATGGGACGTTTGTTTATTTTCTGAGGTGGGTTGAGAGTTGACAGTTTCAAGCTGGATAAAAGATATTTTTTACTCAGGACTTCACCTGTACAGCCTTCTGTGTGTCAGTTTATCTTCACATTATGCTGAGCAGAAAGAATAGTGCATTTCTACTCACATGCTCTGTAGGTATTTCTTTTGTTGGTCTCAGAAAACGTCCCGGAGGGTCATGTCTGGTCTCCATAGTAACGTCCAGGCTGTGCTGGCCCCGGCGCTGTGACCCCCTGCTGACCACCTGGATGTTTGCCTTTCCGTTCCTCCTGGATTGGGAGGTGTCGTCCTCCACTTGTAGCTGCATGATCCCGTGATACTGGAATGAAATAATGGAATAAAGTGTTTCTGCGACATTCAGAGGTGCCAGGCCCGCATCTGTTGCTGCAGCTACTCACAGTGTAAACGGTGTCTGTTCCATTGTGAAACACTGATGAAGGAGAAATCTGGAAAACAAAACACACGTGCCTTTTCTATGAAGTTATAAAACTGGAGGAGCAAAGTTAGAATAACCAGATCCAACCTAAATGATCGTTTTTGAAATCCTTACAGATTTGGGATTGCCCACAACTTTTAGTTTCTTCTTAGGGAAGCTTCCGTCGGGTTTCGAGGCGCTGTCTCCACGTGTCCATGTAACAGAGTCTGTGCCGAGGGGAAGTTTCTCCAGCTGGATGGATCCATGCTCGGGATACATGTCTGACGGTACCTCCTTCCCTCCAAGCAGAGGAGCCTGGTGGTTGTGGTTTACGCCACACTTCTCTGAGTTGTTTAAGGTTCACATGTTAGTTTTGTTGGATTGAGTTTTTAAACAAAATCACTAACATTGTTTTTTTTACCTCTTCCTGAGTCTCTGATGAGGAGTTCAGCCTTATGGATGCTTCCAGTTACTGCAGCTTGTGGAGACACGAGCAGTGCCTCGAACCTTTCATCAGCTTCCTCCACGTGGTCCTGAATGAGTTCTACCAGCCACCTCTGCTTTGTCACACCTAGAACAGGACAGAAAATCCTTCACTCAGATCTTTCCATCCCTCATTGTAGCTTTGGCTGATTTTACTCCTTCATAACATTTAAAAATAAATTATTAAAGGGACATTATGGAAGTCTGACAGCCAAAACACGTATAGAAATAATAAATGTCTTCTTCATACATTCTCCTGCAATGCCCTGGTCCTGTAGAATGAGCCCTGGCATTTTTACTGTGATTGCCTGTTTTTCTGTAAAATCACAGAAAAAGAGAGATGCTCGGGTCGAGCAGGCTGCTTCATGCGCGTTCACGCTCAGGCATCGCCCGTAGCATTTGCTATCCGTAGCTTTAGCAGCAGAGAGAGAGGCAGTGCCACTTTGTCGCTGTTCCTAACGCCTAGTGACAAACCTAGCTACATTTCTGAGGACCCTTAGCTACTTTCTGTAGAACTTTCTTCTAGATATTTCCTGCAAATTAGCAACAAAATAGCCATTTTCACTCCCAACCGTTCTTTGAACGTTGTTTCAGCTGTTATCAAGGATATAAATGTTACAGATATGCACAACATTACTGGCGCTTTATCTCACATAGTAAGATGTTGGACTCTCATGCAGAAGACCTGGGTTTGATTCTGGATGTGAACATAGTTCATTTAGAGTTTATTTTTTACATTAATGGTATATTTTTTTACAGTAAGATGCCCAAATTTTTATTTGAGACTCGCCGAACGGCATTGAATTCACAGATAAAAAAGATGTGGGTTCAACTTTCATTTTGGAACAATTTTTCAAGCAAGGGAAGGGAATGATCTGAGCATGCAGGAGGACTGACCCATCATAAACCTTTGTCGGCTGTGCTGAAGAGAAAGGTACAGAACCAAATTATTAATTAATTAGCTGCACGTTCTACTGTCCTCTGTCCTCGCACACACACACGCATGCACACACACATGCACGCACACACACATGCATGCACTCACACACACACACGCACGCACACACACGCACATGAATGCGCGCACACACACACACATGCACACACACATTGATCTCTACACAAAATGATAACAAAGGCTTAAAACATCTGGCTTTGCATGTAATGAGTCTTTATTAGTTTCACTTTTTAAGTTGAATTACTGAAATTAAAGGACTTTTGCACCATATTCTATTTTTTTATGTTTCACCTGCAAGTCTCTGATGCTACGTTGCTGGAGAACCGTGCATTTCTAAAAGTCACGGTAGCAATTAACTTTAATTGTGCTCATCCAGCTAAAAACCACGATATATTTAACCTGAAGACGCTTCTTCCAGACCCAACAACCACAGATAGCCACTACTTATAAACAGACCAACTGCAGTATTTCAAAAGCATAATCAAAACCTTCGGTTAAAAATACCTGGATCGAATTGAAGAAGAGAGGATGGTTTCATGAGAAAATCCTTCCCAGCTGTTGCTGTCCCGTCTTCCACCTGGACAAGAGAAGGAAGGTTACAGAGCCGTGTCCTCTATGTGACTTTAGGATCGTGATGCTGGAAATGTTTATTAAAATAGAAATGCACACCAGTAGATCACAATTAGAGGATATTCGTTTCCTCTCAGTTAGGGGTGGGTAATTAATGAATACTCACTTTAGTCATCATCAGTTACCTTGATGCTGACATACGACGACTCTGCCAGGTTCCCTCTTCGAACGACCTCCAGTGAGATAGATCCCTGCTCTTCACAGGCAGAGAACTCAGGCTTGGAAAACTCGACACTGCACCACTTGAATTCAAGTCTGCAAACATGAGAAAACTGTTCAATAAAACTATCATCCGAGCGGACTGAGGAATAGTTGTCGTTCCTTACAAATGAGGAGCCCCCCGATTGCCCAAAGAGTCAGACACTGTGAACTGCAGGCTGTCTGAGAGGGAATCCCCGTCCGGGTTGATAATATAAACTATAGCTCGTTTATTAAGCTCCATCTGAGAAAAATGCTGTGACACAAAACTACCTGCAAGAAAAAAAGTCACGGTGTTACCACTCAGAATTACTGCGTTATATAGAAGAAAACCAGCAGAAAACTCTTGACCTGTCATGGTGTTTTCAAGGTAGCCAAAATAAGGGCCGCGGATAATGAAAAATAATAGATCCTCATCTTTGCTGTCGGGATCTTCAGCCTTCAGCTCCCGAGATGACAAGAAGATCCCGTATCGGCCGTCGGCCAAAAGCTCCACTTTCCAAAGTGGGAGCAGCTTCTCCACATTGGGAGGTGATGTGTCCAAAGGCTTGATCTGTGAAGACATCCAGCACGATGGGAACGTGACTTCACCAGAGTTTTTTCTTTGACATAAGATTAATTCTGGCTACTGGCTGAACTGAAACTGAGCCCACCTGAATAGTGAAGATCACAGGTTCTGTTTGTAGTCGTCCGTCCAGCAGGAATCCTCGATTTGTGCTGTCAGAAGCAGTGAAGGCAAACCGGTCGATCTGTGAGGGCCCCCCATTGTGTTCATAAATCAATTCCAGCTCCTTTATGTCTCTCTGGGTGAAGTTTGACCCAGCGGTCAGTGTTGAACCAGATAAAAGTAGATTACCATAGTGAGGAGGCAAGTGGAGGACAAAGGTCAGGGCACCAGGTGGGGTGTCAGGGTCAGACAAGGACAGACTATCAGGACCGAGGATCAGAGAAGATCCTTGTGGGACTGTGAGGTCTTTGTAGGAGGTCAGAGTTGGAAGGACACGATCCACCATTTCTACTCGAACGTCAAAGCTTCCTTTCCGACTAGTTTTACCATTACTAACAACAAACCTGCAAAAACATTAAAGAAAGTGGGTGTTAGTCCACCGTACGTGAGCTTCGACTAGACTTGGTGACAAACGTCTGAGGAACATCACTGTTACGTGTGAAGCGGCTGAAACATGACTTAAGCCTTCGGAGCCCGTTTTTCTTCTCTAACAAGCGTCCACCGAAAACACGTCTCCACGACAACCGCCCATAAATAATTTCAGTCACAAGTGAAATATTCAAAAGGTCAACTGAGCACTTGTGTCAACAAATTCTAATTTGCTTCCGAAATATTCTGGAACTCACTGAAAAGTCTCCGTTGTCTTGCTGGCTCGGTTGTCATGAACGTAGGCAACAAGGTTGGCTACTATGTCCATCTGGCTGAAGGTGGAGATGACCACTCCAGGATGGGCTACGTACTCCATGTGTCCATGAGCAGGTGGGTTGGTGATGAGGTACTGCAGCTTCTCTGGTTTGTCTGTGCCATCGGTGGCTAGCAGAACGTCTGTAGTGAGAACAACTCGATCGCCACGGCTGACGTTTGCAGGCTGCATGAAGATGGCAATGTTTCCTGAAAACCAGTAATAACAAGTTAATCATCATTAGGGATGTGTACTGTTGAAATTCTGGCGATACGATACGTATCACGATGCAGGGGAGACGATACGATGTATCACGATATATTGCGATACATTCAGTCAGACGTCACAAGCAATTTGTTTTACTGAATTTATTGTAAGAATGTTCAATAAACAGTCCAAACTGATACGTAACATGTTTAACATGAGGTATCTGAACCATGATGGAGGGTTTTACATTTCAATGGTGGAAACAAAACCCGTTACACACTGCTGCAACAAAAATAGATTACTCCATGGAGCTTTTTGTCTGCCAGAGATGAGTTTGACCTTCCGGGTGAAATGGTGTTAAGGACTTCAAGAGTTTCGCAGCTGAAGTTTAAGCTCATAAAAATTAACCGAAAAAAGGCCAACGAACTGATGAATCAGCAAACAAAGAATTTAATTTCTCTAAATGAAAATTTATCTAAATCTGTGATCAAAGAACAACAGCACTCATTTTTTATACACATTTGCAGTTTAGTCAACATCTGCGGGGGAAAAAACGTTGGCACTCCTGTTTCAGGAAATAGAAGTTAGCCAGATGAGAGGGGAGCAGAACAGCAGAGTATGGACTCTTACTTCCTGATATTTGGACATCTCACCTCTGATTGGCCAATAGCAACATTACAGCAAATCTACTGATTCCAGTTGCTTTGCAACGTTGATGTTTTATCTGCATAATAACAAGCCTGAAGGAGTTCTGCTGGGTGGTGGACTTGCTAATGCTAACAGTTAGCTTCTACTAACCCAGATGTGTTTTTGCACTCCTGGACACTAAATCAAACAGCCTCCTCTGTCGCGAGCCAAGATGGGTGAGTCCTTGAATTTCAGTGTAATATAGACTTTACTGGCTGTTCTAATCTGGACTTTTAATTGTCTAATATCCATCGGCGGCTAATGCTGGAAACGGGGCAAGAGAGGCCTACATGTTAAACTCAGAGTGACCAATCACATTTCAAAAACAACAAGTAAAAAAGTTATTTTTCTGTGAACTTAAAGGACAAAATCCCAGTACCTTTTTCCAGTTCTTTGACTAAGATCTGGAAGTGCTGTGGAGGAGACCAATTCTTTCCGTCCAGCAAGTGGAAAACAAAGAAGTCCTGTGTTTCAGAAGTGTGGAGGTCCGTGTGGACGTAGCGCAAAAGGTTCATATTCACCGATTCCTGACTACAGTTCCTCCCAGTTGTCAGAGGCACCCACATCTGACCTTCCTGGGGCAGGAAATGTCACAGTTAGAAGCATATTTCATTCAGGTTTGAAAGTTTTCCTTCTCTAAACAGGATTAACAAAACAAAACTCTAGAAGGATTATTTTCAAACAGGTGGTCCAGAATAAATTATTACTCATGAAAATCCTACAAACACACAAAGATGTAGACATAGTTAGCCTTTTGATGGGTTTGACTTTGATGCAACGTTTCATGAAGAATTATCACATTATCTAAATCAGTGTTTCCGCACAATCACAGGAGTACCATTCCTTAGGGCGCGGTATGGGGGCCAAAATTAAGACTACTGCCCAGTAGCAGGAGGCTATATAAATTCCAAAGCAAACTACCGATCTGATGATAAGCTGGCGCCGGTAACTGAGAGGCTGGCGCTGCTTACTGAGAAATAGCACCTTTACCGGCGTTACTACTAGATACGCTAGGGACTAGCAGCCCTCGGCTGGTCACTGACTGGTTCACACACTCCCTCTGCTGTCTATTAGCATTAGCCTGGATGGGCTGGTGTTAGCATTGGAGAGGCTAGCAATTAGCATGCCTAGGCTGGCCACTAGCTGGATTTCCTACCTCCTCGACGGACCATTAGTATGGATAGGCTGGCGTTAGCATCGGAGAGGCTAGCCATTAGCATGCCACTAGCTGGATCTCCTACCCCCTTGATGGACCTTAAAGAGCAAGTCACTCCCAAATCAACTTGTTTTTGCTGATAAACTAAATAAGCGAGTGTCTAATCATGCTGTAGACACATGTTGTCAATAATTTGGCACTTCAGTGCATCTTAGTTAAAATTTAAATATTCTGCCTAAAACTGTCAGTGTTGTGCCGTTGTCAGGTAAAAACTCTGCACTGCATTTGAACTTAAATCTGCCACCGCTTTTGGCTAAGAGGTATGCTATGATGTAAACTGGTACATTATGATGTCACAATGCTGTCGTGAGCCTGTGTGTGTGTGTGTATTTGTTAGTGGCTCCGCCCTCTCGGTCTGCCTGGCAACAGCATTTGTTGCATTTTTCAAACATGAAGTGGGAGTGGAGTTGGACTCTGGTAGGGGGTGACTTGCTCTTTAAGCATGGATAGGCTGGCATTAGCATCAGAGAGGCTAGCCATTAGCATGTCTCGGAGAGTCACTAGTCAGCTTTTGGCCAGCCTAGGCTAGCCTCTCTGATGCTAACACCAGCCTATCCATGCTAATGGTCCGTCAAGGGGGTAGGAAATCCAGCTAGTGGCCAGCCTAGGCACGCTAATGGCTAGCCTCTCAAATGCTAACACCAGCCTATCCAGGCTAGCCTATCCATGCTAATAGACAGCAGATGGAGTGTGTGAACCAGTCAATGACCAGCCGAGTGCTGCTAGTCCCTAGCGTATCTAGTAATCTCAGTCCCCAGACCTGAATTGTATTGAAAATCTGTGGTGTGAGTTAAAGAGAGTTGTCCATGCTCGGAAGCATCACACCTGAGCGAACTAGAGATGTTTTTAAAGAAGAACGGCCCAGAATACCTTCAACCAGAATCCAGACTCACTGGAAGCTACAGGAAGCATTTAGACGTTGTTATTTCTGCAAAAGGAAAATCTACTGAATATTGAGTTAATTTCTTTTTTGTGGTGCCCAAACGTACGCACCTGCCTAATTTTGTTCAAACAATTATTGCACACTTTCTGTAGATCCTGTAAACTTCATTTCCCTCCTCAAGTATAACTGCGTGTCTCCTATATGATAAATGTAACCTGAACATGTTTATTGTAACAAAAAACAATTTATAAAAGAAAATCAGGAAAATCAACAATGCTGCCCAGACTTTCACATCCCACTGTAACTTTAGAGAGTTATTACTGAAGCGGTGTGTTAAGACAACCTTGATCTGCAGCAGCCCTTTGGTTGGAAGGCTCTCAAATATAAAGATGAGTTCTGATGGGGAGGTGTCTCTGTCCTCAGCCAACAGCGAAACACTGGATATGATCCTGGCCTCTCCCGGCTCAACCTCCAGTCCGTTGTTCCTGAAGATCAGACATGAGGTTTACATTCTCTCCACTGTCAGCCCTGAGAGGATTCACTTAGACTGGAACTAACGAATCTAACCTGACGACACGAGGCTCCTCGTCGTTTACCGGTTGCACTTCAACCATCACCTGCCTCTGGAGCTGGTGCTGCCCATCAGTCAGCTGGATGATAAAACTATCCTTCATGTTTTCAGAGTCATCATGCAAATACACAAGATCCACACCTGCAGGACAGCGGTGATAACTGCAGTTGGTGAATTGGTCTGTTGGTGTCTCTGTTTTTACTGTGTTTACAATTAAAAGTTTGCATTTTATAAAATGCACATTTAACACATGAAAAATGAGGTTGTGACTACCGTTGTCGATGTCTGCCATGGTAAAGTCATGCACAGAGGACAGCAGACTGCTGATTGGTTTGTCAACCTTGTGGTGAGTTATGCTTCCATGCTGAGGCGGTCTGACCACAGTGAAGAGCAGGACATTCTTTGGGATGTCCAGGTCCACAGCGTGCAACACAGATGAGTCCAGCTGTTTCGCTTCTCCTTCTTGCACCTCAGGACACAAGACTTCCTGTCAGTTCATGTCCTGTACACCCACCATCAGTGGAACGTGTCTGTGTTATTACTGCCGGGATCTTCAAACTTACTGTGATGTTTTGAGTCACAAATTCTGGTGCTTCATCATTTGTCGGGTTAATTATGATGTAGAAAGGCACGTGGGCAGAGCTGTGCTTTCCATCTGATACACAGAGCATGAGGTGGTCTGCCGTGGGCTCCTCCCTCTGGTGTCTGGACTGTACGTAGTTAATATGACCCTCGACAACGTCTTTGTACGAAAAAGAAGCTGGATAGAAGAAAGAGAGACCAGATGTGTGAAACAACTGCTTTCACCTCAGTGTTGATGAGGCGTTGTGTTTTATTACTCACCTATGCTAACGCCTGTGTTGCTTTTCTCAAAGCCAGGGCTCGGGAGGACGTTTTCCACGTAGCCAAACTGGGGTGCAGAAACCAGAGTGACAACAAGCTCGTCCAAGGCTGTGTCCATGTCAGAGGCATTCAGATGAGATGACGTTATCGGGGCACGCCCACCTTCGTCCACTACAAACATGTCACCTGCGAACAGGTATGGACAAAAGATCTAAACCACTCCAGTGTAACAGTTAGTGTGTGAATGTAGACACGGCCAGCCTCCGGCTCTACCGGCAAATTTGTTTAATTAGACATCAATTCAAACGTTTTACACAATAAAGTAATCTGTTCAACCACAGACAGTTCACTAGTGAATCACCTTTAGGTATTGGTGAGACCCTTTTATCTACATTGGAAAATGTCCGACAGGCAGGTGGTTGAAGCTCATTTGTGTTCGTAGAAACATCAAACACGGACACAAATCTGGGCCTTTGTTTAAAAATCTACTGAAGTGCTGCAAAAAACGTACTCACGCAAATTTACGTTGTGACCTATAGAAGCAGCTTACGCACTGCAGTTTATAAATCACTTCCTAGAAATGACCCGCACTTTTGTATAGCGCCTCTCAGAGTCAGGACTCCAAAGCGCTTTACACTACAGTGTATCATTCATCCATTCACACACACACATTCACACAGTGATGGTGATGAGCTACGATGTGGCCACAGCTGCCCTGGGGCGCACTGACAGAGGCAAGGTTGCCGAGCACAGGCGCCACTGGTCCCTCCGACTACCACCAGCAGGCAAGGTGGGTTAAGTGTCTTGCCCAAGGACACAACAGCAGAATTCTCTGGCCGGAGCCGGGATCGAACCTGCAACCTTCTGATTACTGGACAACCCGCTCAACCTGTTGAGCTACTGCTGCCCTATCACTTCCTAGAAATGTGCTCAGGTGTTTTGGGGCCACATCCCACCTCCTCACACCCACTTTCCGTCATAAATGGTCAATGCAAATAATTTTATGAATACTATGCATTTACAGTTGTGCCGATAATTTACAAACCTTGGTGGATTTTTGGGCCGTTTCTCAAAGAATTTGAATGGAAACAGAAAACACTGTTTTTCACTCACGGTCAGTGATGCTGTGAAGGTTTTCATCATGAAAGAATGTGTGAATTCATTTCAAATCAAAACCAAAATGACCCTGTCGAAAGGTTAACACACCCCAGTTCCTAATAAAGCCTGATTTAGGGGCTCTGCACACCGGCGGCGACAAACGACCGCGATCAGCGAAATTTGTCGCTGTCGCTTTTATTACCTGACACATGGGAGGCGACCTGCGGCCAGCGGCAAAGCCGTCTACGCGTTCTGTTCCATGGCAAAATAGAAACTTCCGTTCATGCTGTAGTTCTTTTTTTAAAGCACAGAGCAGTTCTGTTTACCTGTTTTCCCGCTACGTTTCGTTTGCGGCTGCAAACTTCCTCAGGCTGACGCTGATGGTGGTGTCACTTCCTTCTCCGTTTATCGGTGGGCAGTAGAGGACGTTGTCGCCCTCTGCTGCCCGCTCTCCCCTCTCCGACGATGCAGTCCCATGCACGATTCAACGTGTAAACTCCGTCATCCCTGTTCATGGTCCCACATCCACGTCTCCTTATCTCGATCGCTTCTTTTATCCATCTTTTGTATTTCTGTTGTTCGGTATTTATGATCCTTGTGTTGTCCCAGTCCATGACATGGTTTTCTCTTGTGCAGTGATCTGTTACGGCCGATTTCTTTATTGTGCTCATAAATACCGAACAACAGAAATACAAAAGATGGATAAAAGAAGCAATCGAGATGAAGAGACGTGGATGTGGGACCATGAACAGGGACGATGGAGTTTACACGTTGAATCGTGCATGGGACTGCATCGTCGGAGAGGGGAGAGCGGGCAGCAGAGGGCGACAACGTCCCCTGCTGCCCGCAGATAAACGGAGAAGGAAGTTTGCAGCCGCAAACGAAACGTAGCGGGAAAACAGGTAAACTGCTCTGTGTTTTAAAAAAGAACTACAGCATGGAATTAGAGAAACGACACAGCAAGAACACACCTAAGATGTTCAATGAAACTTCCATTGTTTTGTTTGGCTGTGTCAGGTTGGAGGGTGTTGTAGAACTCTAATACGGCGCTATACAAGCACAGGTAATTTACCATGATTTATCTAATTTTTTCTTCCTGTTTTTAAAATTGAACCCAAACAGCAGTGATCCACGCATTCCGCCTTTGAGGAACTGTTTTCTGAAGATCAGAATATAGAAGCAGTTCCTAAAATCACCACAACCGACCAGGTTCAGGCAAAGCTGAAGCTGTTCAAGAGCCTTCCATCATCGTGACTGAGTGTTAACCCTGTTTTGTGGTGGTGATGAAGACCAGTTTGCCTTTACTGGCCATTACTGTACAGTTTGGTTAAATGGTACCTCTGCACTCTTTTTAATATAACCTTTTATCTTTTATGCAAATAAATAAATCTTGTGCCTTTACTGTTTGCACTCAACGTTTGCTGTGATTTTTGGTTTAACTGAAAAACCACTCTTAGTACTTTGTTAGTTTCTCATAGAATTATACATATAAGTATACATAGGTATCAAAACTTAGATATCGTTAAAGTATTAGTATTGAAAACTATTTAATGACACTGAACACATACCGAACGCAGCTAATAATGATCTTTAATTGTGTTGTTCTGCACTTCAGTCACACGATCCAAACAAAATTCCTTTCCGTCAGCGCACCTGTGTTTGTGTTCATCCCACCTGTTGCTAATGAAGGAGTTTGACTGTCAACAGGAAACACTGTGATGTGGAGGTCATACACAGGCAGACTGCCCTGAAGCTGAATTGTGCCTCTGCTTCTGGAATTTCCTCCATGGCAACATGAAGCAGGGATTTCTGTATCTCCATCAGAAATCACAAAGGTGATGGTGTCTTGTTGTGAAGTAAGGCCGATTTCCAGTCCTAAATCAAACAAAGAAACTTTAGAGACAAGTCATCTGAGTTCACACTCTAATTTAAACCAGTTGTACTTAAGGTAACTGATGACCAGCCCCATAGGTGGCGATCCCAGAGAAAGCTGCCTCCCCAAAAAGTTATTTAGCTCTGCTTTCATATTGTCCAGTGAAAGCTGAGCACAGCTGATAAAAATTAAAACTGCAAAACAATGTATATTTATTTATTCAAAGATTATGACCCCCCTTCCCCTATTCCACACATTGGTACAGTCCACACAAGCGATTTTGAACAGGTGGAGCCACCACTGTTCCGATGCTCCCAGAAATGACTCGTGCATAGAGCCCATTGAGCACTTGATCAGAAGCTGCCAAGGGAGCTTTTTCCATCAAGTAAAACAAATCCAGTAAAAGAATGTTTAACTTTTACACAGAGACACACAAAGACAGGCTGGAAACGAGACTGTCCAGGAAAGAGTGGAGTCATTTTAAATGTATTTTTAGATTTCAATTACTTTAATATACAACGGCAATCCACAGATTAAGAGACTGCCAACTCCCTTCATAACCCTTCATTCCGGAACTGCGCTGATCTGGGTGGCTGCATGTCGGAGTAGCTCTGTTGACTATATGTAAGTTTTGCCTTTTTTTGGACATTTTTTCTTCTAGTTTCTCAAGAAAAACTGTATTTTTTTTGACATTTTACTTTTCTGTTTCTGGTGCTGTGAAGCTTGGAGGATTTTTACTGCAATTTTTTTCACTTTTCGAGCATTTGTTATGATGCGTAACCATGGTAACAAGCTGGTTTACAATCGGGAGCAGCTGATTAACATTGGAAAGGCTAAAATAATACGTCAACTGAAGCCACAAATCCCAAATGAGCTAAAACGCAAGAAGCGTGGGTGCAGAGCGGGAGCAAAACGGACCATCTCTTCCATCGATCATAATGGGCAATGATAAATCAGGTGCTGGTCAGCATCAGAAGCAGGGACCTGAAAAGACTCAACAGCCTAATAAAAAGGCTGGTTCTGTTCTGGGGACGACTGTGGAACCGCTGGAGGAGATAATGCAAAGAAGGATTCTCCAGAGAATCAAGAAAATGATGGACAACCCTGAGCATTCTCTTCACAAGACTGTCCGACAACGGAAGAGTGTCTTCAGTCAGAGGCTTCTTCAGTTTGGCTGCAACACTGACCGCTACTGGAGATCCTTCCTGCCAACAGCCATTGTAATATACAACAACTCTTTGATGACTTGATTATTATTATTATTCTGAGCTACTACAGCAATCAATTTCCCTCTGGGATTACAGTGATCCCTCGTTTAGCGCGGTAGATGCGTTCCAGACCTGGCCGCGATAGGTGAAAATCCGCGAAGTAGGGACACCATATTTACAGTATTTATTTAACAGGTACGTATTCAGTATTCAGACTTTTAAAACCCTCCCTTTACATAGTACTGTATTTTTACATGTTTTTTTATAGTTTTATTACAAAAAGTGCATTTTATGATGAAATTGATGAAAAAAAAACAGGAATTTCTTGATATTTCGCATAGAAAAATACCGCGAATCGGTGAAAAATACCGCAAATTGGCGAATTTCCCTCAAATAAGGCTCCAAAGAAAAAATCCGCGAAGTCGTGAATCCGCGATAAATGAACCGCAAAGTAGCGAGGGATCACTGTAATAAAGTATTTTTGAATTGAATTGAATTGAATAAATTCAGGTTAGTCCTAGACGAGGTGTTTACCTGTGTGTCTGTAGGAGATGGTACCAGCAGTAATGTCTGCCTGGATGAAGTGATCAACCAAAACTCCACTTCGCAATACTACTCCATGATGGGGCTGGCGGGCAATCAGGAACACCAGGCTGCTGTTATCACTGTCAGCATCAGTGGCATAGATGTACTCAGCTGTGATGAATACTTCTTGTCCCTCTGCACACATGAGAACTGGTTTCAAACCAGCAATCAGCACTGGGACCTCGTCGTTAATAGGTGTGACCTGGAAGCAGCAATATAGTTGGATACAAAATGAAATAAGGCTTGTAAATAACTAAAGAGGAAAAAAGTGCTAAAGAATAAAGTCAAAGAGGAAACAAGCAAGTAACCTGGAAATTAAAAGAACTTGTGAAGAAATGCATCAGCAACCAAACAAAAGTCAAACACATGAATTCAGAAATACTTTAATAATCCCAGAGGGACATTAGGTTGATGTACATACGTTTAAACAGTGTTGGGAGTAACGCTGTTTAAGTATAACGGCGTTTCTAACGGCGTTCTTTTATAGGTAACGGAATAATCTAATTAATTACTTTTCCCGCCATTACCGTTACTGGGGACGGAAGGTTGTGCGTTACTATGTGCTTGTCAACGTTGAGCAACAGTGTGAGGCTTTCTGACCGCCACACTTCAGCTGCAGCCAGGGAGAGAAAGGTGTCGGTAACGCACTTACAAACACCATGATGATTGGCCGGGTGGGCGGAGACCCTCATCGTCTCAGTCGCTGCCTGCTGTAGAGTAGACACAGCAAGTGATGGTAATAACGCCGTTTAAAATAACCACGTTAATAAAAAAAATATTTCTTTCAGTAACGAGCAAACTAATTAATTACGTCTTCTTTTAACAAAACGATCGTTTCCGTTACTGATAAGGAAATGCGTGCGATAAGCAGCGCGGTGTGTTGAAGCTGTCATCAGCTGATCAGGAGCTAAAGAGGCAGATGTTTTCATCCAAGAGCATCACGGCCCGTGAAGAATATCTACGGCTGCAGACCCTCCGCAGATTCGCTGCAGCAGGTGGGAATCTGCAGCCGTGCCCTTCTTAGCGTGACAGCGGGACGTCCCGAAGGTCCGCTCACCTGGTCACCGCTCAGACGTCCTGATCTTCTACCTTCCTAGATCATCCAGCTGTAACCTGTTTCTGATCATGTCTTTAGTCCCGCTGTAACACTGATGCATCAGTCTCAGACGTCATGGAGCTCAGGTGTTATTAGAACTACCTGTGTGTGTTTACCACCCAGCTTCAGCTCTTCTGTGGTTGGGTGGGTCTGACCCAAGTTAGTACATTTAAGTCCTCCATCAGGCTTGTGCCTCTTCTAGTGTCATTTTAAAGGATTTTATTTATTTATTTAACCGTTACTAGATTAGCAGCAACAGAAATGCTACTAAAAACACACAATTATGTGAAGCTGGAAAAATTAGAATACTGTGCAAAATTACATTTATTTCTGTAATTTAACTAGACTGAGAGACCATTTAAAGGCTCGGGGACCTTTACAGGTGTTTCTATTTGCAATTTTAAATGTTAGCTGATTGGGGTCTTGTTAAATATCACACAGTGACCTTTTAATAGTCTAGATAAGTGTAATGTTCCTGTTAGTAGTTCCTCCTGTTAAGTGCTTATTTATTTAAATTATTCAGGTTTATAAAAACATTTGGACATACATTTTATTATGTTCCAGTCATTAGTCATTTATATTTCACTATTTTAGTAATTCTTGCATTCTTTAATGAAAAAAGTAACTAAGTAGTTATTTTTGTTGGTAATTAGTTACTTTTATGATCTTGTAACTCAGTTAGTAACTGAGTTACTTTTTTGACAGTAATCAGTAACTATAACTAATTACTTTTTTTAAAGTAACGTTCCCAACACTGCGTTTAAATATATAATTTTGTCAAGTTTTAATTACCTTTACTATCAGAGTAAAGCGGACTGAATTGGTGCCATCAGTTGCATTCAACTCAATCAGGTCTTCTGTTGATTCTGAGTTGTCATGTTTGTACCTGCATGAACAAACAATCAAAACAAGATACGGTTCATAACAGAGTTCAGGGTGGCAATCTGTAATTGGAAAAAACAATAATTAGTTCACCTGCAATCCTTTCAAAACCTACCAAACAAGTTGTGGAATAGTGATTCCCAAATCTAAACAAATGAATCTATACCACTTCACAATAATGGACACTAAATTGTTCTTTGTTTCTAGGGAACGGTTGAGTAATGAACCAGGTACAAATTGGTTGTTAAACAGTACTTACTGGTAAAAACACCGGTCAGTCTTAACCAGTGACTAATTAGTAGTTATTTAAGAGAGAAAGAGGGAATGAATCAGGGGTCAATGCCTGTAGACTATTGAAACTTCCATAAGGATGCAAAGCATTTTCAATGTCACAGTGATGTACCGCTGCTGTATGTCTTGATTTTATGTTTATGTTTATGTTTATTTATTTGGCAGACGCTTTTATCCAAAGCGACTTACAATTTATAACCTATAGGGCGTGTTGTGATCTGTGGGGGAAACCGGAGTACCCGGAGGAAAACCACGCATGCACGGGGAGAACACGCAACTCCACGCAGAAAGGCCTTAGCCGAGTTTCGAACCGGCAACCTTCGTGCAACAGTGCTAACAACTGTGCCACCATGCAGATTTTACCCGTCTGTCACTAACTCCTTGTTAAGTGGCAGACAAGTGAAACGAAGACCATACCGCAGCGGTACATCACTGTTTATGTTTACGTATTCAGCAGACTCTACTGGCCAAAGCGACTAAAGCTTGGTTTATGCTTGACGCGTCCGCGAGGTCCGCACGGCTCCGCGCGGAAAAGTTGCGTCATTTTAACAACCACGCCCCTCCACCGCGCCTCCGCACGGCCCAAACTTTCCGCACCGCGCACCTAGGAAATTTTCTAACCACGCGGACGGTCGGACGCGGAAAAACATGGCGGACTGGCAAGAACTAGTATGGCAGAGGTTCGTAAATACAGACATTTGTATGATTCAGCTCTCAGAGATCACTGTGATCAACATGTTGTTAATAATTCTTGGAGAGAAATAGCTCGCACTGTCGGAAAAGACGAGGACGCCGGTAAAAATGCTGGAATGCCATGTTGTAAACAGTCATTTCTAGTTCTACTATGGTGTAGTGTTGGATGCATGCCGTAGAGCTCCATGCTGCCCCCTACAGTTTGGGAGAATATTGGCTCACCGCAAAGACGAGCCGCATGAACCATAAACGCTGCAAGTTGTGAAGCGCGTTCCATCCGCGAGCCGCATCACCAAGCGGAAAGTGAATGCGTCAAGCATAAACCAAGCTTTATAGGTGATAATCAGGCCAGCAGGTAGCCCTTGAGGCTAACAACAAACACTATTCAGTAAATCCTGGGTGGCAGTGAGGCAGCATAATCAGTCACAGAGGGAAGGGAACACGGAGTGGACACTAGAGGGAGGGACGGGTGCAGGGAGGGTCCTAGTTTAGAAGATGCTCTCTGAAGAGCTGGGTCTTAATGAGTTTCTTGAAAATCGACAAGGACACCCCTGTTCTAGTGGTGCTTAGAAGGTCATTCCACATTTGTGGAACGATGCATGAAAAGAGCACGGCGTAGGCACTGCTAGCCAACGATCCAGCCGTGATGTAAGCCTTTACTACAGGATTCAGGTAGATGGGAGCCGTACCATCCAGGACTTTATATGCTAGTGCTAGCAATTTGAGTTTGATGCATGCTGCTAACGGTAGCCAATGCTTGCCACTGCCACTGTGACACTGCAAATGCTTTGCATCCTTATTGAAGTTTACAAATAAGAGTTTGCAGGCATTACATTAACCCCTGATTCATTCTTTATTTATTTCTTAGATACCCATTAGTCCCTGATTAAGACTGGTGGGCGTAATTTCCAGTAAGTACTGGTTAACTACCCATTAGTCCCTAATTCATTACTCATTACTTCCTCAGTTGTAGCTTAACAAAGCACAATTTTGTGTTCCTTATTGTAAAGTGTTTGCCTCTCAGGTTCACTGATATCTCCTAATGTTGAAAATAAACCAACAAAGAGCCCAGACAAAAGGTTATTTCAAGTTAGATTCTTCTGAATTTAACACATGTTGCCATGTCTTGAATGAAGAAACTAGGTTGGCTATCTGACCTGACTTCAAGGTTTTTAAGTTCTTGCAAGGAGAAAGTCTGGCCAGGTGTAAGTGGGCGATGATCAAGGGAAAGAGCGCCATGTGTTGGTTCCTTTAGAAGCTCCACCTGCAGGGATTCCTGCACAGAATCCACATCTGACAACTGTAAGTGTTCTGGGCCCAGCAAACACTCCCCTCCCTCATCGACTGTCAGAGGGTTGGTGATGACCTGAAGCAGAAAGTGTCCACTCATTATCTTTACAGCAGGATTTCACAGACATGAACTAACACTGGAATTGTGGTTTTCACCTGTGGAGGCTGGTTGTCCACTGGCACCACAGTGATATTAAAGCAGATCCCAGGGACCGTCAAACCCATATGATTGGTCACAGATAGAATAAACTGGATGTACTGAGGGTAAGGTCCAATGTCCATGACTGGAGGCATGTAGGCTACTTTCATAAAGTTCACTGCATGCTAGAAACAGCATCAACATTTAGTTCAAAAACATAAGTACTGCCCATGTACCAAAAAGGACAGAATAAGAGGATATTTACTTGTGTAAAGAGTCGTAACACTGGTGCGTGGGAGTTCTTGGTAAACCTGGGTAGGCTGTCAACAAGAAATAACCTCCCTGCATCTGGAATACTGTTCAACAATCCAAACGTCATACAGGAGGATTTCTGAATACACATTTGGTGAAGGTGAGTATATACAAACCTGTGAGGACCAATGTGAAAAGGTGGAGTTGTAACTGTGTAGGTAAGCTCACTGTTAGGAGACTCCTCGTCCACAAAGTGGAGGTGCTGTAGGGTAATGTGAGCCACTTCCGTTTCCTTGATCACAAGACATCGGCTGGAACCAGCAACCTCTTTTGGTGGTTTATCTGGAACTGGCTCTATGTGCACTACTACCACCTGAAGACATCAACATGAATTAATATAAACTTTGTTTTGTTGGGGAACACCTGGATAGCTCACACACATCAATCACAGGGACATAGAGACAAATGATACAACTATTTAAACATGTACTCACATTTAGGGTCAATTTTTAAATGCCTACTAACCTTATATCATGTTTGAGCATAAGTGGGTGAACCTGGTATCAGGCCACTTAAGACAGCCAATTACCAATTCTGTGCCTTTTATTATGTCTATGCATTTGTCCAAAGTATGTATGTATGTATGTATGTATGTATGTGTATGTGTATGTGTGTATGTGTATGTGTGTGTGTGTGTGTGTGTGTGTGTGTGTGTGTGTGTGTGTGTGTGTGTGTGTGTGTGTGTGTGTGTGTGTGTGTGTGTGTGTATGTATGTGTATACGTTTGTATGTATGTATGTGTGTATGTATGTATGTGTATACGTTTGTATGTATGTATGTGTATACGTATGTATGTATGTGTATACGTATGTATGTGTATACGTATGTGTATACGTATGTGTATACGTATGTACGTATGTATGTGTATACGTATGTACGTATGTATGTGTATACGTATGTATGTGTATACGTAAGTATGTGTACGTATGTACGTATGTATGTGTACACGTATGTATGTATGTACGTATGTATGTGTATACGTATGTATGCATGTACATATGTACGTACGTATGTTTGTATTTATGTACGTATGTATGCATGTACATATGTACAAATGTACGTACATATGTTTGTATGTATGTACGTATGTATCTACGTATGTATGCGTGTACATATGTACGTACATATGTTTGTATGTATGTACGTATGTATCTACGTATGTATGCATGCACATGTACGTACATATGTTTGTATGTATGTACGTATGTATGCATGTACGTATGTACGAATGTACGTACATATGTTTGTATGTATGTACGTATGTACGTATGTATGTACGTATGTACGTATGTATGTACGTATGTACATATGTACGTACATATGTTTGTATGTATGTACGTATGTATCTACGTATGTATGCATGTACATATGTACGTACATATGTTTGTATGTATGTACGTATGTATGCATGTACGTATGTACGAATGTACGTACATATGTTTGTATGTATGTACGTATGTATGTATGTATGTATGTACGTATGTACGTATGTACGTATGTACGTATGTATGTACGTATGTACATATGTACGTACATATGTTTGTATGTATGTACGTATGTATCTACGTATGTATGCGTGTACATATGTACGTACATATGTTTGTATGTATGTACGTATGTATCTACGTATGTATGCATGTACATATGTACGTACATATGTTTGTATGTATGTACGTATGTATGCATGTACGTATGTACGAATGTACGTACATATGTTTGTATGTATGTACGTATGTATGTATGTATGTACGTATGTACGTATGTATGTACGTATGTACATATGTACGTACATATGTTTGTATGTATGTACGTATGTATCTACGTATGTATGCATGTACATATGTACGTACATATGTTTGTATGTATGTACGTATGTATGCATGTACATATGTACGTACATATGTTTGTATGTATGTACGTATGTATGCATGTACATATGTACGAATGTACTTACATATGTTTGTATGTATGTACGAATGTATGTATGTACGTATGTATGTATGTATGTATGTATGTACGAATGTACGTATGTATGTATGTATGTATGTATGTATGTATGTACGTATGTACGTTCGTATGTATGTATGTTTATGTTTATTTATTTGGCAGATGCTTTTATCCAAAGCGACTTACAATTCATAACCTATAGGGCATGTTGTGATCTGTGGGGGACACCGGAGTACCCGGAGGAAACCCACGCATGCATGGGGAGAACACGCAACTCCACGCAGAAAGGCCGCAGCCAAGTTTCGAACCTGCAACCTTCGTGCTGCGAGGCAACAGTGCCAGCAACTGCGCCACCATGCAGCCCAATGTATGTATGTATGTATGTATGTATGTATGTAAGTATTCATGTATGTACGGATGGATGGATGGATGGATGGATGGATGGATGGATGGATGGAGATATATCCTCCAGTGACAACATTTGAAAGATCTCCACTTCTCACCTGAGGCTCAGAAAGGTTGGGAGGGTCATGAAAATCTGACAGCACCACCTCAAAGGAATCGTCAAACACCTCATTCCCGGTGTGTCTATAGTAAACTATGGATTGACAAAGGTCCTTCTGTAGAAAATGGCTCACTGGATACCCTAAATTAAAATTCAAAAAGGATAGGATGAATGGATGAAATCAGAGAACAAATATCAGGCCCAGCCCATTCTCCCAACCTGTCAGCCCTGGTCCTGGGATTTTCATAACCTCCCCTGCCTGCGGGAGACGGGTGATGTTAAAGAGGATGTAGTCATCACTCGAGTCCATGTCTGAAGCCTGGAGGGTGGAGCCACTCAGCAAAGCTGTCTGGCCCTCTAAGACCTCCAACAGAATGTTAGTTGTAAGAAAAGGAGGACTGTCATCTTTGGGGAGGATCTTGATGGGGAACTTATGACGGGTCTGATGATGACCATCGGAAATGCGGAAGATGATGAAGTCCTTGGTGGAGTCACTATCGTCATGGTGATAGCAGACTTTTCCAGCTTTAATCTCAATCACAGAGAACATTAATCCTTTTCCACCTGGAATTTACAGAAATCGATTATGAACAACAGGTTTGAATGAAGCACAGGTCTGACACTCTATTTGGCCTGAATAGAAGATGACAGAAAGATTTTAATTTGCCATATTTTGTTTGCATGTGATGACACTGCTGCTGAATAAATCAATTCCGCAATCAAACAAATAACAACCACATATTATAGTATATTTCTGGGCCTGCTGATGTAAAAACGATGACACGAGCAACATCCGGTGAGATCTTTTCCCACTCTGTGGCTGGATCTGTTATCCACTCTGCTGTGGTCTGTTGGGTTGCAGGCAGCTGTGACTGAGACAGAAAGGGACTGAACATGCTAGTTACACGAGTTAGCTCAGTTCTGGGCTGCCAACTAGATTCTGTTGAGGACAAGTGTGAAAGGAGGATGCTGGAGAAGTGGACCTCCATCTTGGAAAACCACTCCCACCCACTGCATCCCACTGTGGAGACCATGGACGGCTCCTTTACTAGTAGAGTCAGACATCCCAGATGTAAAACAGAACGCTACCGTAGGTCATTCATCCCCTCTGCAGTAAGGGTGTAGAACACAGTTTAACTGGTACTGGAATTATCCTGGTACACAGCAGCATCAGTGCTATATTCAGTATTTGTACAGTACCTGGATGTACATTAATAAGTTTGTGTCTTTTATACTGTTTCTTCTTGGAAATTCAAGTTTCTATTCTCTATTTTTATTCATTTTTTAAATGCTGCAGGTTACGATAATAGCCGTGTGTATTTACCTGTTTGTTTTCTCTAATGGGCCATTCCCATCTGTACCGGGTCGGCCCGGGTCGGGTAGCCCCAGTCGGCCCCAGCCTGGCCCGGTTGATTCCACACATCCTTGTCTTAAGCCCATGTGGGCTGATTCTACCCACCAATCAGAGGCTTGCTCTAATGGAAGGTGTGAATTTGCTGTCAGCAGTGGGTGTGTTGGCCCTGGTCGGCCTGAAGCAGACCCCCTTGAGAAGAGGGCTGAGAATGAGCCTTGGTTGGCCCGGAAAAATACCAGGCCACCCAGATATGTAAACAACCTACCCTACCCGGCCGGGCCGACCCGGTACAGGTGGGAATGGCCCATAAGTGTGTGTGCTGCCTTAACAATTGAATTCCTCACTGTTGCATGAATATAGAATATTCCATTACATTTTATTATATTTTATTTGCACATTTCAAAAGGATTTCAAAAATGATTTGCCCCAGAAAAAGGTACTTGTGTGGCTCGGAAACATGTTGCACCGTTGGCGGTTGTACTAACAACCAGACAAAGTTACATTTGTGGCTGCAGGAGCGGTGCTTTGGTCATGCACCTGTGTGCGGCTGTATTGTACTTCCACTTTACATCAGTGCATGAGGACATGGTCTTTCGCTGTCTGACTGAATTCTCAACCTGAAATAAACATCGTTCAAAAATATATACTCTGACTTTAGACCCTAACATTTATTTGATTGAAATATGCTTTAAACAAGCAGACAAATAGTTAAAATTGTCGTGTTCTGTGTCCCTGTGGTCCCCAGGCCCCTCCAGGTTCCCCTCATGTGTCCCCGTTTTAAGCCCCGTCATAGCACTGAAAGTGCTCTTTTAAGAGTTTTTAATGACCTTCTTTTAATTGCTGATTCGGGCCAGTCAGCAGCTTTGGTTTTACTTGATCTGTCGGCTGCTTTAGACACCGTTGATCACGGCATCTTGTTGTCCCGCCTAGAGTCATGCGTTGGCCTCGAGGTGCTGTTCTCCAGTGGTTTCAATCCTACCTTCACAAGAGGTCATTTTCTGTTAATCTGGGACCTTTTACCTCAAAAACAGCACCTCTGACATGTGGGGTGCCTCAGGGCTCCATTTTGGGTCCAGCACTTTTTTCTTTATCTATGCTCCCCTTAGGCTCTATTTTTGAGAAGTACAAAATTACTTTTCACTGTTTCGCTGATGATCTTCAGATCTATTTGCCACTAAGTGGTGCCAGGTCAATTGGCTCATTACTGGAAGGCTTAAAAAGTGTCAAACAATGGATGTCCATGAATTTTCTTAAGCTCAACAATCAAAAAACTGAAATTTTAATATTTGGCAGTCCTAATCTTTTAAACAACGCTTAGTCCTCTTGGTCCTTGTTCTGGTTTTCTAAAACCCTGTGTTAAAAACCTTGGTGTGTTTTTAGACGGTTCTTTTAATCTTTACAGACAGGTGAGTGCAGTGGTCCAATCAGGTTTTTATTATTTAAGGCAGATAGCAAAGGTGAAGCCATACCTTCCTGCTAATGTCCTCGAACATGTCATCCATCTGTTTGTGTCTTGCCGATTGGACTACTGCAACTCCCTGTATTCTGGCCTGGACCAGTCCTCCCCACACCGACTTCAGCTGGTCCAAAATGCAGCAGCCCGCTTGCTGACTGGAACCAGCAAGCGGGATCACATAACCCCGGTTCTGGTCTCTCTCCATTGGCTTCCTGTCTCTTACAGGATTTTAGAATTTTGGACTCTCTTCCTAAATAAAGGATTCTACTTTGATTTCGCTCCTGCCTTGTGTCGTTCTGGGTTTCTGCATCTTGGGTCCTAACCTCCTCCTGGCTCAACGTGACAAAACAGAGCTCAGTGTTTAACATTATACATTATCAAATGTGTTGAAAATGGTCATTAAACCTATTGTGACACATGAACTAGCTGCTCTTTGTAATCCAGGCTTGTGATGAGGGATTTTAGGCTCTGGCTCGGCTCTGCGTCTGCTTTAGAGTAAATAAGTTTGTGTCCCACCTCTTTCAACAAAACACGACCAACCCGATTACCGCGTAGGTACTGATAAGCCTCGGAGCTTGTTCACTGCCTCGTCGTCGTGCGCGACAGTTAAGAAAGAAGCTGAAATGCTACTGTGTGTCAGCTCTGGCCAGATTTTCACATCACCCTCCTCTCGTCTACTGCAGTGGACAGAGGGATTGTTATGGTGTCCCGTTTGAGCCGTGACAGCTGGTGTTCCTACATAGTTAACGTCTCTAAAAGCACTTGGTTCGTGATTTCTGCCTATTACTGAATAGGGTCTATTCCAAAATTAGGTGTAAAATTTTGATCATTGATCCCCCATCCCCCACTCAAGCAATTTACCCCCCTTTTTTAAAATAAAAATGATGTCCTTGTTGTCGAGATAAAGTGGTAAAACATAACTTTGTGTCAGTACCTCCCACAGTAAGCTGCCCATGGTGAAGCCCATCCACAGTGATGATTCGAACAGAGTTTATGTTGTCGTTGTCCACAATCTGCAACTGGTCCCACGTTATTGGACGAGACTGACCTTCCAGGAGGCTCAGACCTAGACAATAAAGCACCATTAGGAGAGCTTTCAGCTCAGTCCAGGTGAGCTAATATGTCTGATGCATCTCCTGCAGACACTCCCAATCTGCACCTTGCCCTTGAGATAAATTCATGTAGACATTATATCTCATGAGAATTGATCCTGTAATATTATCAATAGGAGACCTGCTTGTCAGTGGAAGATGATCATGTTTTTGCTATCTGACGGTTTCAGTGAATTTTAATAAATAACACACACACACACACACACACACACATTAAATGTGATCATTTACCATCTTTACACTGACATACAGAGTGAGAAGAACATTTATACAACATATGATTATACTGCGTGTTATTGGGATGTTATACTTGTGTGCAGTGTTAGGCAAGTTACTTCAAAACTGTAATGCATTATTTATTACTTGTTACCCTCATTTTAATTTAATTGATTACATTACAATATTACTGATTTTAAATTGTAAGGCATTATACTACTTTTGCATTACTTTAAGTTACTTTCACCAAAACAATTTCAATATGAATCTGGCAATCTCTCTCTCAGTGAGCTCATGGTGTCAGGCGTGCTGGAGTGTGAAGCGGAGGTGAGGATCCACACGCGGGTGAAGAAGGTAGGAAATCAGACATGAACGGTTGAAGGCTTTAATGATAAACACGCTGACACTGAAACAATGATCCAACACGAGACACAGAACTGAAGGGGTTTAAATACAAGAGGGCTGGGAGCCTGGGTGAGGGTGTGACAGTACCCCCCCCCCCCCCCCCCCCTCAAAGGGTGGATTCCAGACGCCCACAGGAACACGTAGCAGGGTGGGAGGAGGGGGACCCGGAGGGAGGGCCAAGAGGGACCCAGGGACTGATGGAGAGGAGGCAGTGACCAGTAGGGTCCGGGGGCCTGCGTCTGGGGCAGAGGAGGAGGCGACGACGGGCTCTTGGGGGCCTGCGTCTGCGGCAGAGGAGGAGGCCACGACAGGCTCTTGGGGCCTGCGTCTGCGGCAGAGGAGGAGGCCACGACAGGCTCTTGGGGGCCTGCGGCAGAGGAGGAGGCGACGACGGGCTCTTGGGGGCCTGCGTCTTCGGCAGAGGAGGAGGCCACGACAGGCTCTTGGGGCCTGCATCTGCGGCAGAGGAGGAGGCGACGACGGGCTTCTGGGGACCTGCGTCTGGCGAGGGCGGGACCGGCGGTGACCGGAGGCAGAGACGCTGGAGATTTCCTTGACTTTTGGACTGGAGGCGGCGGCGGCGGCAGCCTCCGAGCCGGAGGCGGCAGCGTCGACCTCTGGACTGGAGGAGACGGCGTCGACCTCTGGACCGGAGGAGATGGCGTAGACCCCTGGACCGGAGGAGACGGCGTCAACCACTGGACTGGAGACGGCGTCGAGCTCTGGACCGGAGGAGATGGCGTAGACCCCTGGCCTGGAGGAGATGGCATCAACCACTGGACTGGAGACGGCGTCGACCACTGGACTGGAGGAGATGGCGTCGACCGCTGGACTGGAGACGGCGTCGACCGCTGGACTGGAGACGGCGTCGACCACTGGACTGGAGACGGCGTCGACCACGGGACTGGAGACGGCGTCGACCACGGGACTGGAGACGGCGTCGACCACGGGACTGGAGACGGCGTCGACCACGGGACTGGAGACAGCGTCGACCACGGGACTGGAGACGGAGTCGACCACTGGACTGGAGATGGCATCAACCACTGGACGGGAAACGGTGTTGACCACTGGACTGGAGGGAGCGTCGACCTCTGGACACGAGGAAGCGTCGACCTCTGGACACGAGGGAGCATCGACCTCTGGACACGAGGAAGCGTCGACCTCTGGACTGGAGGGAGTGTCGACCTCTGGACACGAGGAAGCGTCGACCTCTGGACACGAGGGAGCATCGACCTCTGGACACGAGGGAGCATCGACCTCTGGACACGAGGGAGCGTTGACCGCTGGACACGAGGGAGCGTCGACCGCTGGACACGAGGGAGCGTCGACCTCTGGACACGAGGGAGCGTCGTCCTCTGGACACGAGGGAGCGTCGACCTCTGGAGTGGATGAGGCATTGACCTCTGGAGTGGATGAGGCGTCGTCCTCTGGAGTCGATGAGGCGTCGACCTCTGGAGTCGATGAGGCGTCGACCTCTGGAGTGGAAGAGGCGTCGACCTCTGGACTGGAGGGAGTGTCGACCTCTGGACACGAGGAAACGTTGACCTCTGGACACGAGGGAGCGTCGACCTCTGGACACGAGGGAGCGTTGACCGCTGGACATGAAGGAGCGTCGACCTCTGGACACGAGGGAGCGTCGACCTCTGGACACGAGGGAGCATCGCCCTCTGGAGTGGATGAGGCGTTGACCTCTGGAGTGGATGAGGCGTCGTCCTCTGGAGTCGATGAGGTGCCGACCTCTGGAGTCGATGAGGCGTCGTCCTCTGGAGTCGATGAGGTGCCGACCTCTGGAGTGGATGAGGCGTCGACCTCTGGAGTGGATGAGGCGTCGAACTCTGGAGTGGATGAGACATCGACTTCAGGACACAAGGAGGCGTCGACTTCAGAACACGAGGAGGCGTCGACTTCAGAACACGAGGAGGCGTCGACTTCAGAACACGAGGAGGCGTCGACTTCAGAACACAAGGAGGCGTCGATCACAGGACTGGACGAGGCGTCGACCACAGGACTGGACGAGGCGTCAACCACAGGACTGGACGAGGCGTCGACCACAGGACTGGATGGGACATCGACTTCAGGACTGGGGGCGTCGACCTCCATCGACTTCTGGTACGGGGCCGTCGATTTCTGGTCCGGAGGCGTCGACTTCTGGTCCGGGTGCGCCGGCCTCTGGACCGCCGGCTTCTGGACCGTTGGCTTCTGGAGTGGAGGAGCAGTTGCTGCAGACCGCTTGGACAGACTGGACCGGTGCGAACTCCGGGACCACCACGGGAACTGGATGTGGTGCGACCTCCGACCACCGCTGGAACTGGATGCGGTGCGACCTCCCGGACCACTGCTGGAACTGGATGTGGTGGACGCCGTGGGACAACTCCGGGGGAGCGCACAGCCAGTCTGGTGCCCACGTAGCAGGAGCGGTCTGGCAGCGTCTCCCGGTCCAACCTCTCATCTGGCTCCGGGAGGGTGGAGAGGATCGCCAAGGCTGAAGTTCGGTGACGGAGTCTGTGGCGAGGTGACGCCCGAGGAGGAGAAGCCGGCCGGTGGTCCGAGGAGAGGAATTGGAGCAGGCAATCCCAGGGGAGAATCTCCCCGCTGGATCCTTTAGTGGGTTGGATCATTCTGTCAGGCGTGCTGGAGTGTGAAGCGGAGGTGAGGATCCACACGCAGGTGAAGAAGGTAGACAATCAGACATGAACGGTTGAAGGCTTTAATAATAAACACGCTGAAACTGAAACAATGATCCAACTTGAGACACAGAACTGAAGGGGTTTAAATACAAGAGGGCTGGGAACTTGGGTGATTGGAAAACGAGAGTCAGGTGGGAGCAATTAACAGAGACACATGGCTGAACCAAACGGGGAGACAGGACATTGTGTGACACATGACATATATGTGGAAAGTGATGTGGTGTCTGAGCTAGGATTGCTTTTAAAACAGTCAGATATAATAACAGTGCTTTAAAATTATTGTTTATTAAATAAAAGCAACAACAATCTGTACTCTCAGCACGCTGCCATCTTATATAAACTGAGCAGGAAGTGAGGTGGTGGGGGCTCCAAGCCTATATTTGCCTTGGTCCCCAAATGCCTTGATACGGCCCTGGATGTGGGACTGACTTCTGGGGTGATCTGATTCTATCACATGTATAAATATTAAATGCTTATATATTATTGCTTTTCACTGGTAAAAATGAGTATTGGGGATAAATCTACCTACTTTTTTTCTTTTCAAGCACTTTGTTTTGTTTTCCTGATTCAGTTGAATAATTTCCGGCCCTTTCTCTCTCTAACCTTCCTGCGTGCTGCATGTTTTCTTCGTCTTCCAGAAAAACTGTATCCTAGATTTCCTACTTTCTAACTAATCAGCCAAAGGGATCTACCGAATGCAAAAAAAAAAAAAAAAAAAAAAAAAAAAAAAGCTTAATATGTGCTGCACTCCAGCAGCAATGAGGTGAAATCACCGGGGCACAGATTATGAACTGACCTGAAAAGTACATGAAGTACCAGCGAATATGGGCTGATATAAACGACCACAAACGAATTACTTTGTTTTGGTGGAGCGATTTTGTGAATATAGCAGCGGCCGCACGCAGGACGCAGCTGGAGAATTTGAGCCGTCACCGCTGCATCCTCTCTGCTCATAGAATGCCCGCAAAGCTGAGTCCATAAATTACGTCATATACAGTGGCGGCTGGCCAGTAGAGGGCGATAGGGCGCCGCCCTCCCAGTTTTCCCTAGTGTTTTTAATTTTTATTTTAATAAATAAATAAATAAAATTAACAATAATCACATATTCTAAGTTAATTGTGTGTTTTGTAACAAAAACAAATCATATATATATATATATATATATATATATATATATATATATATATATATATATATATATATATATATATATATATTATTGCTGAGAAGCTCTCTGCCCGAGCGGTGGAGGCAACAGAAAGGCTGTGGGCTGTGTTTCAATTGCCCAAACAGCACGGAACCAGCCGGCCAATTGCTGACAAGAAAATCAAATGGTAGGAATGGGAATGTATCCAATCAGCGTCGACGTTGTTTCAGAAGCATGATGGGTGATAGAGCTACCCCAAAGAATTTCGTTGGTGTTCGGTAGAACTCGGAGAGTCTCGACTAATAGACACTTACTGGCGTCCATGCCATTGGTACACCAGGAAGGCTTGGCCAGCTGGATGCAATCACGCTAATGCGTTATTTTGCTTTCCGTGTTTGTTATTCAAAACGGCTGGGACAGATAAGGCATGGATTGAGTCAGGAGTTACAGACATGAAACATTTTTCTGAGAAGGTGAAGAAACACGAGTCATCCCGGGC